AGCATGCGGTTCGTGACCTGAGGTACGATGCCCAACCACGCCTCCCACAGATTGATCGTCTTGAACTCGTCCGTGTCGAGCCCAAAGGCGGCATCGGTCGAGTGCACGACCTCCTCCTCAATGCCGGAGACGATGACTGGCAGGTGGCGGGCCAGCGACCTGTGGATAACGTGGTTGTACCATTTGGTGCGCGCGTGTGCCTTGCCGAGGAAGTTGTAGTCGGAGTAGAGCACGTCGTTGTGGGCGTTGTGCGCAGACACGACGTTGTCGGGGCGCTCGAGGAGCCAGGCGGTCTGAGAGCGGGGCAGGATAATGTCGTAGGCGCGGGAGACGGCGGCGGGAACGATGAAGGCGCGGTCGTTCTTGGTGTGCTGGTGGAGGTCAGGTCAGCGGCCCGGAAAGACTACGAGGCAGATGACGGAGGACAAATGCGTTGGCACAACGAGGCTCACCTTTTCGTACCCCTCGATGATCCAGTCGCGATAGTGGAAGACGTAGCCGAAGAAGTTCTTGAAGCCCGGAATGAAGCCCCTGCCATGACCCACCATGGGTATGGAGGTGGGATAGGTAGGCTTCCATGTGTAGTCGACGATGAGCGAGCCGACAAAGAGGACGAGGAGGGTTGCGATCAATCGACCGGCGGTGATGGGCTCGAGCAATTGCGCCCGCAAGCTGGTGTGAGGGTCGGCGACCAGCGTCGCATTGTCCGCCATGCTGGGCCGAGCAAGAGGTGGGAACGAGGTTGTGCTTCAAAGTGATCAAGCGGGAGTCCTGTGGTGGTCGGTCATGATCATGATCACAGTCAGGGCTGCGGGTTTCGGGTTGGCTGAGGAAGCAATGGAGGGGACGATGGGCAGTTATTGTGCTGATGTCTCGGGTGTTGAGATGGCCGGTGTCTTTGAACAGCCCGCCAGCGCGCCTGGCGCCATCCGATCTGAAGCTAAGCCTGATGCTGGGAGCTGGAGCTAGAGCTGGGCAACATGACTTCAAGCTTTAGCAGTGCCGTCATTGGGGAGTGTCTGTGGTGGGGGGGACCCTTGGAACCTACCTAGGCACCTAGGTACCTACCTACCTTACCTAGGTCGTGAGGGACTGCACGTTCAGTCAGCTGCAGGGGCTTGCCACAGCACTGTTTCAGACACTGGCCCGAGCTGGAGGGGCGGACCTAGGTACCTACCTACCTAGGTACCCGTAGTTTGTGGATCGTAGAGCCCGGAGCCTGGAGCCTGGAGCCTGGAGTCTGGGCCTCGAGCTTGTCCCACGGCAGGCTGACTACTGGAACAGCAACTGTGGCTATCCATGGCTGTCCGTGGCTTTCCGTGGCGCTGACGCAAAGCGCGGGGCCTTCCCAACGAAACACCATGTCCACCATCATCACCTTTCCAACACCCTTAATAAACACCTTTCAACACTTCACTTTCAATTCATTGGACCAACTTCATCTCGATACCTGCAACCCCATCATCGCATCTAGATCATCCAATCACCAGTCGTGCCACTCGCCCCGAAGGTCCCGAAGCCCAGCAGACATTCTTGCCAACGCACTCAACACTGTCAAACGCCCCCCCGTCAAACCCCGTCCACGTCCTCCCGCCATCCACCGTCACATCCGAGCCCGTAGGTCCGACCGCCACGGCAACATTACAGAGCCCCCCCACCCATGCCGTCGCTGACCGGTATCCGCGAGGAAACGTCTCGGCCGCAGTCCACGTCTGCCCTCCATCCTCTGACCACGCCGCATTCCTCTCGGCACCCTGCGGCACAGTGAAATCCCCACCGACCGCGACGCCGTTCTTCGTGTCGCGGAACCGCACCGAGAAGACACCACCCGCCTCGCTTCCCGTGATGGATGCATTGGACGCGTCCCAGTCGTAGCCGTCATCGCTTCGAAACACGCGCCCCGGATCCACCCCGCCCGCGGCGAGGTACCACCGTCCCGCTGCCATCGTAATGCACGTGCCGCTGGCCGAGAACCCAAACTCCCCCGCCAGCGCCGGCGCCATGTCGCTGGGGTCGACGATGCCCCAGCTGCGCCCGCCGTCCTTCGTCTCGATGAGCCTGAACTTGCCGTCGACGGGGTCGCTAACGGCGAGACCTCTTTCCTGGTTCTCAAAGTCGACGCAGTTGTAAAACGCCGTCGGCTCCTCGTTCGTGAACACGAGATCCCATGACGTGCCGCCGTCTTCCGTGACGTAGATTCTCGAGTCTGTCCCCTCGCCGATGGATAGGATGACAGCCTTGGTGGCCGAAAAGGCCTGCACGTCGCGGAACTGGAGCGCCGCGTCTTCGGGCGCCAGCGTTGGTCCCACGGACGTCCAGGTGGCGCCGCCGTCGACGGTGCGGAGGACGGTGCCTCGCGTGCCCGAAACCCAGGCAGTCGTGTCCGAAACGGCAGCGAGGCCCCGGAACTGCGCCGTGGTGTTCGTCGGCGTCAGCGCCCAGGATAGGGTCCGTTGCTGTCGTGTGTTGAGTGGCTGGTCTGAAGCCATGGCTAAGGGGGAAGCGGCAGCCACAGCCGCCAGGCTGGCGACCAATATGTGTCTCATCGTGAATGTGTCGTACTGTGTCATCAGAGAAGCAAGAGCGATCTGGATCCGTCTCTCACGACATGGCGAGCTGCTGTATTATGCCATTCCTACGAGCGGGGTCCTGATGCTGTGATACCATGGGCAAGATTACCTCTGTTTGCCGATCTCTTGACCTCCTTCCTCTTTGGGGCCTGGAAACGAGCGACGCACCAATCCGCCCGGGCTGTTGCGTCTCGGGGACGAACTCAGGTACGCGCATGCAAGGCACTGCAGCTGCGCCGGACACCAGCAGATGGCTTGCTAGAGAGGCTGGGGGGAAAAGAGGGGAAACTGATGGACCTTCCACCTTGGTGTAATCACCCGTTTAGTCATTCTGCGCTGTTCACTCTGACGTTGTTTGCTGAAGGGATGGCAAAGGGACAATCGGGTGCTTGATCAACACACGCCAATGCAGCTCGTCTTCATTCTACCTTTCGATATCTCGAGTGGAGAGGATTGGCGTTATTCAAGATGCGGCGAACTCGAACGACGGAGCCCTTTTTTTCACCAAGTCTCCGTCACTGCCAGATTGCCGCTTGCTTGCTTTTCGCCTTTAGAGTAACGATTACGTGTTTGCTCTAGCCATACGACTGAACACCGCTCCTTTTTATTACTCTTATTATCGCGTCTGCCGATGTCGGGAGACAGTCGTCCTGTGGAGTAATTCCTACAGTCATGTCACGGTAGGGAGCATACCTTCATAGCCCTCATGATGAACTCCGGGGACAGGTCGATAAGGAAGCGTATGGTCCAATTGGACCTGACCCATCGATTATGCCACATTCTATTCGAACATGGATGAGTAGGTCGATTTACCTCTGGAGTCGTTTTGGTCTTTTCTTGTCTTTACGAAGTCCTCCCGTTATAGACTCCCATGATATGCCCCTGCGCTCCTGGCAACACGAACCGAGGGAACATATAGACTAACGAGTATTCGATGAAGCAGCTAGTACAAGGTAGTGCGCCGCCAGGCTCTGGAAGTCCCGCCGTGTGACCAGGCCCCGAGAACTGCTCTAGTAGTCCACGAAAAGCTTGAGCCATTCTTCAGCTTGATCCATGTGCAGGATATCCTAGACGTAGCTAGCGATGATTGTTGAATAAACCATCTGGTCACAACGAGGAGATTATATTCTCATCACATACGCCAGCTGATTCTGATTTGCAAATATTGAGTAGGTGCCATCCACAGGACTGGCAGGGGAACGCCTATTAACTGATCTTAGAGGGTCGGGAGGAGAGCTGAACGCAGGGAGAAAACTAGTATTGTGTATAGTTTATAGATTTACGTCGGAGGGAAGGGCAACGATGATTCATTTGCTACCTGCACTGACCACGAGATCCCTTTGAGAGAACAGCAATTTCCTCTCGAAAAACACGACAATTCGTGCTGCTCCATCTCCCCAGTTTACTTCTCCAACTTGTTCGCAATGGCCTCCATGGCTCCATTATACATGGCCTCAATGAATACTTTGAGACCATCCCGCTCCGGCCCGTCAGGGAAGGTTGTCTCTCCAGACCAGGTTATCTCCGTGGTATTGTCGCTGATGGCATGAAGCTTGAGAGTGGAAAAGGACAGCACCTCGCCAATGTTGTCGTTGAAGATCTGCCAACGGAGGGAGTAGGCTGCGCCGTCAGCGTGAACAAGTTGCTCACGCACAGGCTTATCGTCCCACGCTTCCTTCCCGTCCGGGCCATTCCCGAACCAGAGCGAGCGAGTAGACCCAACTCCGAATCCTTCGAGCGTCGACTTGGTCACGTTCGGAAACCAGAGACACTCTCCTCCGTAGGCAGCCACAATCCCCCAGACTTGCCCGATGGAAGCGTGAACAGTCCGGGTCGCTAGAGATAATTTGGGAGGCATGTCGTTTCTAAATGGGTAGACTTAAGCTTAGATTAAGTTAGAAAGGGCAAGATGATCGAAGTGAGCATGGTCGTACCTGCTGAAGAATGGATGATTGGTGAGCGAGCTTGTCTAATAATATCTTATAGTGATGAGTTGATCAGCCAAAGAACACGGTGAAGATGATTGAAGGGCATGTTACATTATGGAGTGCGTGTAGGAACAAGACATTGTAAGTATTTTATATTAAGCAGGTAAGGAATCTAATCCTGAGGTTGAAGGCCATCAGCGTGACTCGTGCTATTGAATCGTTGCTCACTCGTCATCATAGGCGGGAGGCCGAGTGAGTGGGATGCCGAGTGGGATGCCGGGTGGAGTGCCAGGTGGGATGCCGGGTGGGATACCGGGTGGGATACCGGGTGGGATACCGGGTGGGATACCGGGTGGGATGCCGGATGCTGTCTGACAATTCCACCTAAGGGGCGATCAGCCTTAAAGAACCATGAAAAACCCCTGGAATTTGCTGTCTTTGACAAGGCCGTCTCATCATTATTCTTTTGACTTTTCACAAATTTACGCCAAAGCAACTCAAGATGCCCGCTACCACCAAATTCGTCACTAGATATGCTAGCGTCGTGGACGTCCCAGTCAAAAGGATCTGGGGTCTCCTCGCGTCATGGGGCTCCGAACAACTCTGGATGCCCGATTGCACTTTCTCGTCGCTGGAGGGTTTCGGCATTGGCTCTATCCGCGAACTTCTTTTCACTACTCGGCCTGGTATTACTACTAGAGAGACTCTCGTAGCTATCGACCCCGAGGATTACACCATCCGGTTTCAAGTCGACATCAGCATCATCCAAGATGCATTGCAATACGGCAACGTCAAGCTCACCCCCGTAAACGAAACACAAACCGAGGTCATCTGGTGGGGAGAGTCCGATCTCGATGACGAGACATTGAAAGAGTCCCTCGACAAATTATACGAATCTTTCAACATTGCGATCGCCGATAAACTCAAGTCTTAAGCAAAGAATAACACGGTCCGTCACAGATTTTGGGAAATAGATCAGGGTAGCGTACAGTACCGTTAAAGGAGAGGAGCACTGCCTTACCATCAATATCACCTTGAGTCTTCATGCTCCTCAAAGACGACGTGAATCGTGTTTTAGATAAGACTATGTCATGCCCACATCTTCCACGTAGAGTAATTGTCTGTTTCCTCCTGATTCAAAGCTACATGATGGCGCCAAGATTTGTTACACTGCTTTGGTACACTGAGGCGGCGGAACATTCTCGGTAGTAGTCCTCATGTGACGATTTCTGTTGGAATTGAAGCAAATGGCCAATGAATGGCCAGAATACGAGTACATGCTGCATCAGGCTTCATTATCTTTGAATCCACGCCCATGATCTTTTTGTTATGAAAATCTACTATTGACCGTTTCTGCCGGCCTGCTTGCCGTAGCCGATGGCCGTAGGAATCAGCTAGTATAATTCTAGTTCTTAGGCAAGCAAATTATTTGTTCCAATCATAGTGTTGGGAACAAGGATTTCCATACATGAGATAGCAACGTGCTAGGTTCACACCCTTCGCGTTGAGGGATATCTAGTGATCATGATTCTACTGATTGGTGAAGAAGATTGCACGCACAGGTGTCGTCATAGCCGAATCTGGTGGATGACGAGTCAGCCAAGTTCAGTACAGCAAAAGGAAGACATACCAACCAAGACGACAGCGCTGAGCCGTCAGAACCTGCCTGCCTCGAACCTAAACATATTCTGAAAGATATGAAGATCAAAAGAAGCACACAAGCGGAGTCGCGAGTAGGAGTGTCAGCGATCCGGAACAATGTCGAACCCCCAACAACGAAGTTTCATTGGCGAAACGGTGCATTCATGACGCACAGGCCTATCAGGAGTATACACTGCCGTCTATACCGCGTAGAAGCTAGAAGCTCGATATTAAACTAAGACTTGGGAAGAGATTGCTGAGTAATGAGATCTCATGTTCATGGATCTGTGTCTTGTGAGCCAGTGCTTAGAAAGCAGCTTATGCTACCTAGGTACCTAGCAATGTGGGTCAGCTGAAGCAGAATGCACGAGAGTTCCTCCCTCCAACCAACCTGGCATTCTCAGTTCACTATCATTCACACCGCGTTGGCAAAGAAGTTTTGGACCTCCAGTATTATTTTTTGCGATACTGGTTGACGGCTTGGACCTTCAAGCATGTCATTCACATGCCAGCATGCCGGGTGTGGCCGCGTCTATTTGCGAGCGGAACATCTGAATCGCCATGCCAAGTCCCACGACAGGCCGACGGTGTTCACATGTGAACAATGTGGCTCAAAGATGACACGTCGGTAGGACATATTATTCCCTAAACGTTTATGAAGAAGCTCATAAATTGTTTAGGGACACTTTCCGTCGTCACATGGCCCTTCATGGCCTCACAGTATCGTCGAATCGTGCGCCCCAAGCATGTTTGCCATGTCGCCAAGCAAAGGTGAAATGTGATGGCCAGAAACCGGTCTGTTCAACATGCTCAACACGGTCATCACGTTGCGGTTGGTCGAGTCTTTTGAACCGAACAGCTAGCAATAACGCTCCGACCACGATGCCACAGGCTTGGAAAACTACCAACGGGGATTCATCAATGAGAATCGTGGAAGACTTGGAATGCTCTGATAACGATGAGTGTGGCGGACACGAAGGTCAACAGAGTATGGCATTGAGTACTCCCAAGCCGGAATGCCCTGGTAAAAGATTGATGTACGACAAACTACTCGCTATCTATTTCGACAAGTTCCACCACCACTGGCCGATCGTCCACCGGGAACTGACTTTATCGCGAAGCGTACCGCAGGTTCTATTGAGAACGGTGGTTACGGTAGGATTGCATTTGTCAGATAATTTGGAAGCCAAGGCCTTAGCAGACTCGACTTTGGAAAGATTTCTTGAGCAGTCCGGAATCAAACTCGTGAGTACAATTCCATTAGTGAAGCATGCTACGAAATTGAGAAGTCTGCTAGGCTCTCTGAACTCGATCATTAATCCTTCCAATTTTTGCTTCATTCGTTTGTAGAGGCGACTGACAGCTCTACAGGCGTCTATGGAGTCCCAGGCCGCTATGAAGCCACTTACGTTGCTGCCGGCCCAGATGTTCGAGTTACAAGCTATACTGCTTCAGGTCATCATGGTTCCGTACCTGACAGGTCGTATTATTCCTACTGGTATCATGGTAGAAGCATCCCTAGCAAGAGTTTTGAAGCTTGCTAGCATATATGACCAAGACATAATCGATGCCGAGGCTCTTACTCACGAATCAATCAATCCACTAGTTCTACGAGAATCATATCAACGGTACGTGAAACATGATAGACATCCAATCGCCCCTTGTAGCATACCGGCACAGCTAACATGAAATGCAGCTTGATACTGTTTCATTTCAAGTTCCATGCGCAGTTCCAGCGCTTTTGTCAAACAAAATATTCATGGCGTACAGTGTCCCTTGTCGTGGACCCCTTGCTACTTTGCATCAAGATCCCCATGCTTCTCGATTCTTGGGATAACCTGTCTGAGAAAGCACAAGAGGTTGAATCGAGAGATGAACAAGTTGAGGCAGTTGACCATGGCCACATGACAACTGCCAGGTGGGAGCAACGCATAAGCGACATGTGTCAATTTGCGCTTATGGCCGAAGACCCTCATTTTCTTCAGCCCATTAATATCTTACAACCAGGCCTAGGTACCCTTATATGGCTTTGGATAACTAGGGAGAAAGATAATACTGAGGAATTTTATAAGTATCTAGGAAGAATGAGCGATGAAACCTTCTAGTAAATACCAAAATCTTAGAAATAAGAAGAAATAAATTGTTTCTAGTTCTCAAGCATGGCATATCAAATACAACATACATAGAATATGTAAGTTTCAGTGTCATTTTACTAAAAGCCAATGGAATTCGTTTGTTCCGTCGGTCGTCTGAGGCTTGGTAACTCAGTATTCAGTATCGTCTACTGGCAAAGTATCATGACTTGCCAGAGGCGCTCATTATGCTCTCGTTCTCTCCACATTCATCGCAGACTCTCTAGCGGTGACACCATCCCAGTGCGACCAAAGAGACCTGTTCTCGTCGTGGTTCCATATATTAACCGTGGCGCGGTTGCGGCACAAGTTGATCATGTGTACAGCGGCTTGAAGATGCTGATCTGCCGCTGCCTTGTTTCCAGAAAAGACCTATATTCGTCAATCCGGAGGTCGATAAGGTAACGATGCATGTGAATACTAACCTCTTCCGAAGCCAAGACCAGGGTTTTGGTGATGGTCATGTCGCTTATTTCGCCGCCCTCGTGGCTGAGAGCAAGATTCAGGTGGTGAAGGCACTGCACCTTGTATCGCAGGGCAATTGGGTCGTATGCGTTGGAATGCTGCAACTTTGCCAGGCTCCTGCAGGCAACAAGAAGGGTTAGAGCGAGCATGCTCATGTCCACCGCGGATTCTTGCATCCAGGCAACGCCAGAGCCGAGCTCGAAGGATTGGTTGGTAAGGTGACGCATGCAGGGTTTGGCGGAGACGCCGTCCATGACAATATGCTTGACAACTGGCAACAGTTAGAGGTGTCGGAATAATCAATTCATATTCGCGTCTACTTGCAGTGCTTGAGTAGGTAACCTTCGAATGGTGCCATGGGGCGGATAAAGCTCTGGAAGGGGTCATGCTGCACAGGGCTCAGGAGGGTGACTGGGCTGGGGGAGATGTATCTGGAACGCCAGACATCCATATCCTGGCAGTCATTATCGCAGGTCGTTCGGAACGGACGTATAGACTCGTTCGGGGTGCGAATCTTATCTTCTGCTACTATTGCTTCGAGGACCGGCTTGTTTTGTCGTAGAGATTGGTACTTTGCAACATTGTCACGCCGCACCATAGTATTCCTGGCTGCATGAGCACGCACCTGTTTGCGATGGCTCGCAACTTCAGCTGGATTAGACACGGAGACGAATTGGAATCCAGTAGGCGACATGACGCGCTTTTGAGCGGGTACTTCTTGTGGTCGTGTAGCAGGGGCATTGTGCCCGTTAGTCTATTGCCATGGTGAAGATGTGAAGCACTGTGGACAAGGTCTCAACAGTCACGAGCTTGTTGGACTGCGCCATGACCATGATGTGATCCACTTGAGGACGAGCTACGATAACCTGCCAAGACTTGCATTGCCTTATTTAAGTAAGCGGTCAACTTTAGAGATTCTGCCATCGCTTGGGGCCCATCAGTGCCAGGATGACCCTGCTACAAAATGTAGGGAAATGCACACTCTTGATTCGAACGACCCAGGTATTTGTCGTAGCCTCAGATACAGGCCGAGTACATTTCCCAGCTCCAGTCTGAAAGACGGCACATGGCTAGGGGCTGCAGGGAAAAGCCCGACGGACTCGTGGCAGATGTTATAGGGCCGCATTCCTATAAGAACAACAGAGCCTTGTCGCCCAAGAAATCGACGTTCCATGGCCATTCCTTGTAGTCATGCTCAAAGCATGTCAATCGCTCAGCTTGAAGCCAACTTTGGACCAACTCAATCAGGGCTTTGAGATCTTCAACAAAACCCGCCATGTCTTCGACCTGGGACTTCCTCCAATACAGCCCTGACCTACGCGGCAAAGTTGCGCTGGTAACGGGTGGTAAGTAAGTCATATTCCAGAGTAAATTCTTGTCGTCGACATATGCGCTTACAGGCTGCACCACCAGCTCCGGCGTCGGGCTTGAGACGGTCAGACTTCTCGCGCTACGCGGCGCAAAGGTCTACATGGCAGCGCGCACCGAGTCGAAAGCTCGAAATGCCATCTCCGAGATTCTTGCAGACAATCCTGACGTTCGCAAAGAGCAAATCGTTTGGGTTGGGCTGAACCTGAGCGACCTGAAGACCGTTGTCGATGCTGCCAACTACATCAAGGCTCACGAGTCGCGCCTCGATATCGTCGGTCTGTCCGACCTGCTGTCAAATTCAGATCTCAAACAAGTTCCGCTGACATCTCGGCCTGGCAGTGAACAACGCCTGCGGAGTCCCTAGTGCCGCATGCACCGATGCAGGCTGGGAGCCGAACATTGCTATCAGGTATGGCATTCGCTTTGGTCGCCTACCTTTCCGTTGTCGCGCCTCACGGCGGGTAGACTAATGAGGAAGCAGCCACGTCGGCCACTTTACCCTAAATAATCTTCTGCTGCCTCTGCTCAAGTCGACCACTTGTACCTCTGACGCCGACGTTCGCATCGTTGTGGTTTCTTCGGTTGCTCAGTCAAGTATGCTACCATCCAATTACGTACCCAACTTCGCGGGTCCCGACGCCCTCAAAAACCCCATCCCGTACCGACCCTGGGCTCACCGCTGGCTATCTCCCCTCTTCATCCGCCTAGACGTGACGGCCTACGGCGTGACGAAGCTTGCCAATGCCCTTTATGCCCAGGAACTTCAAAGGCATCTCAGCGACGGCGTTCAACAGGATGCCGAGGACGCCCTTTCTTCACGGTCCATCATCGTTACGGCCGTCCACCCTGGTACCGTCCGCACGCCAGGCATGGCAGAAGTCTTTCAACCATGGATTTTGGGTCTGGCGAGCCACTTTGCCGTGACACCCACCGAAGGCGCACAGAATTTGCTCTTCGCGGCCACAGCGAATGAAGTGAGAAGCCAGCCGGAGAAGTTCGCGGGCCGGTTTCTGCTCCCCATCGGACAGGTCGCACCGCTGCACCCCTCGGCGAAGGATCCGGCCCTCGGAGCCGGGCTGTGGGAGAATACGCAGCGGCAAGTTAATACCTATCTCAAGCAGCACGGACTTGACGAGCTCTTGCCCTGGTAAAAAGCCCCGTCCGAAGACTTTGATGGGCCACCGGGCCATGATGAGGTTGGTGAGTATAATGATAGGAGAAATTGCATTTTTAATGTCCCCTCTTGTGCTGCAATCCGATTTGGAGTATTCAATTTCATGCAGCAGGTGGTCAGCTGCATGAAACCAGGTGATAGAAGATCCAAGTAGAAGTGTCAGTATGTAGCCTTGCCCTCGATTGGGTTCGCGCGCCGGGCGTGGAGATGGAAGACTGGTATCTCAATTCATCCCATTGCTTGAGTCGCGCCCTGGACTTGATTTGATTTTTGGTAGTTTGAATTGCGCAACGATGTTCTTCTGTCTTGGCCAAACTTTGGCACGAGGACGATGAGAGTTCGTCATGGATTCCAGCCCATCGAAGAATGGGCGAAGGAGACTGCCGAAGAATGGTGCCAGTAACACGATCCAAAGACCGGTATCTATCTAGGTATATGTTTCAACTCAACATCAATACGACGCCCAACCTTGATAAGCTTAAGAGCTTATATTGAGCGGAGATAATGACGTATTTTCTTCATGCCAAGCAGAATAAAGCTAATCGACTTACCTTGACTTTCCTATGTCGCGGCTCTTGTAGCCCTTGCGAGACCTGTGTGGGCCCTTTTTTGGACGCATGGGGCCCTTCAGATTGACCGAGACGATCAGTGAGACGCATCTCCAGGCTGGCCGACCGTTTTTTGAAAGGTAGGGCTATTGTCAAGTCAGTGTGCGAAGTCGACCAAGCGTGTCGCGGGATTCTGATACGTGCCGTATTCAAGACCAGAGATAGCGAGCATCCATTTAAGATCCTTTCGTGCCAGGCCTGGACGCTGGGTCTGGGGCAGTGCTGGACGCTCAATGTACCACACCAAAGTTGGTCATTGGCAAGGCCACGGCGGCATTGCGAAGCCTAGCATGAATCAATATCTGACCGAGGATTCGGATCCGCGAATGACTCCGTAAGGCCCTGATAACTCAGAGTCTTCTCCACTTTTGCTCAGAAGCTGAACAACGCGAACCCGAACACGCGTTTCCGGAGACGTCGGCAGACGCATAATGCGAATCCAGTAGTACTCACCAATCTCGAAGTCGATGAGAAGCAATGTGACAGAGCAAAAAGTCGGGACCCGAGTGCCTAGGAATTGATGCAGACCTAGTCAGCGCCTGTAAGGCCAATGATGCGTCCTTGCCTTGCTTGCCTCTGGCAAATAATAAAAGGACAGCCTCCTCAGACCTGATTTATCCTTTCCATTTTGTATCACAGCCATCTCAAACTCTCCTTCTCTTCATCACCTACTTGCGAGACCAACACCGACACCACGATGGGTGAATGCGACCCGAACTACAAGGACGCCCAGTACGCCTATTACCGCTATGATCCAAACACGGGTGCCGCCGTTCTGTTCATCATACTCTTCAGCATGACCACAATCCTCCATATGCTGCAAATGATCAAGACCAAGACGTGGTACATGGCTGCATTTGTTGGTGGTGGTTTATGTAAGACACCGTCACCCATCCCTTGATAGGCAGGCCATGCCAGTGCGGCAACTGAAGTGACTTCTGCTGACCGCTTCCTGTTTCTCACGCAGGCGAAGTCGTAGGCTACATCGGTCGTGCCATAGGCGCCGGGGAAGAGCCAGGCTGTTGGTCGCTGGGTGCCTTTGTCATCCAATCAGTCCTTATTCTCATCGGCCCAGCCCTCATGGCCGCCTCGATCTATATGATACTTGGTCGCATTATTCTCCTGACGGAGGGAGAGCTCTACTCTCCAATACGCCGCCGCTGGCTCACGAAGCTGTTTGTTGGGGGCGACATCCTCGCACTCCTTGCCCAGTCCAGCGGCGGCGGCATCATGAGCTCCGATGACGGGTTTGAGACGGGCGAGAAGGTGATAGTCATCGGTCTCTACATCCAGCTCTGCTTCTTCGGGACCTTTGTGCTCGTCTCGGGCCTCTTTCACTGGCGCATGAGGCGCGCACCCACGGCCACGGCTGCGATGCCCCACGTACGATGGGAGGCTTACCTACGCGCCATCTACGTTGCGAGTGGACTCGTCTGGGTCCGCAGCGCATTCCGTGTTATCGAATACCACCAGGGTAACGGCGGATATCTCATCAGCCACGAGGTATGGATCTATTTGTTTGATGCGTTGCTCATGTTCGGCACCATGGTGTGGCTGAACTGGTACCACCCTGCCGAAATTGGTATACTTCTGCGCGGCGAGATTACAACCGCGAAGAATGGTCTCGAACTAGTCGGGCTTAACTTGCCGTTGGGTCGTCGATCGTCGAGCAAGGGAACAAGGATCAGCAATGAGGCACTTGCCTGAATAGGCCAGAGAGCAAGAGGGTCCAACAAATAGCGTGGTCTGTTACAGAGGGAACAGCACCATGGTACGTTACTGAGAGAATGACATAAGGTACAGGCAGCCTCGAAATTTTCTTTCAACTTTAATTTGGCCATGTATGGATATTACAGTAGGGAAAGGACGGTATAAACATGGGTTTCAGGCCTAGATGAGGAATCTCGATTTGAGCAGTAGAAATAGGAACACCAGCCATTGTTTATTGCACAGCCATGTTATGCAGCACCGCCGCCCGATGCAGCAAGTTGATACTTACTTGGCTTCGTTTGCGTAAGGATGTGACCAAGAGCCCGAACCAGGGTCACGTAGTTGTCGGCCAGCCGAGCACTCGCACTGAGGTATTTTCAGGAGCCTGTCACTGTGCGTCTCACAAAGCGAGGCCTGAAACAAGTTATCACGAGATAAAGAGGCAAGACAGAGTCCAACAGCTGGGATTCTGTATGCTCCCCTGGAGGGGTATGCTGCTTCAGTGCACAAGCTTCTTTGCGATTGAGCTGTTTAGACGCAGTTCCAGGGTACTGGATTGACCGGGTATAACCCATCACAGCTATTCATCAACTAAGAGGCCGTAATTCATTAGATCGCAGTCTCTATTCCTTATTCTTTGACTTTACTGTACTCGATCCCCTTTACTTAGCTATGGCCGTTTCGTCAACGACCACATATGCCCCTGTCTGTATAAGCCTATGCAGCCCGCCTGCATACTCGGATAGTACATACCCCAAAGTCCATAAAGCTTCTACTGTGTATTCCTGACGTGACGCTTACGCGGTCCCCAAATCAGGTCTCTACCTTTAGCTGCACTAGAGCCGTGGCCACACACCTGTGCGCATCTACTTCTTACCAAATTTTGAACTCCGACTTATATCAACTACTTAGTCAGCTTCCTCAGTAACTGCATTTCATGCTTCAACGGCGCAAATGATAGTTATTGAAAGACCTATGTATCATATATATAGGTAGTAGAGGTAACGCCGTGGGGGCTGCTTTGTGGGAGATGATATGGGGCTACCTCATATGCAGGGTTCTGTGACATATGCGTCACCTGCATACATGTACCGCGATGACATAAGCGTACTGCGCAAGGTGCTTGTTTGAGTTGCGAATGGGACCTCACGTCGTCTGCATTCCGTTCCTCGCCCTGACGGGCTGAGGCGATCGTCCGCTTTGATATATAAACTCGCTCCTGGGCTGCGTGTCGAGAAAGCGAGCACGGGATGCCGCGACTCAGGTTGCACTCTACCTCGACGACATGGTGGGTTGTCAGTCCTGGCGTGTGGCAATGCAAGGCTGGGTGCCGAGCTGCTGGGAGGAAGAGAGGGCGAATGTGGCAGGGCGAATGTGGCAGGGCGAATGTGGCAGGGCGATTGACGATGGGCGTGTGAAAGAGCGCCGCGCGTCACTTGGAGAGCCAACGCCAGGGACCTGTCCCTCCTCCTCACCATGGATAAGGGATGGTGATTTGATGATCCCTCTTGTGGATGTTCCAGATTTCGCGTTTCAACTCCACCCACCTTCATCTGGTAGGCCCATGCCCTCAGGACGTCGACGTCCTCATCATCTCTCGCGTCCTTTCAAGGGTGTGGTGATGTGTGGGATGGCTGGCAGACGCTCGCTCTCGGGTCGTGCGTTCCGATCACCTCAAGGCACCAGCTCAGGGGCCTTCTAGGGGAGCCCGGGGATTTTAGGGGAGCTTGGGGAGCTGCTAGGCTGCTAGGCGCCACTGCTAGGCGTGAGGCAGTGCACCCGTATTGCGTGCCAAGGCAGGCCCATGAATCACGGCGCCCCACCTGCCTGGTCATGGTCATCAATCAACATGAATCACTGCGGCAGAAACGGTGGGTGGGACGTCACCAAGGTCACTTCCCAAATCTCCCACATGCTGGTCCATTGCCTGGCAGGGGCAAGGGGGAGGGGGCGCAGATCATCTCGTTCCTTTCGTTCGTTGGTTGTCAGACGTTGATCCTGTCATTAGCTGTTTGCAGGTCGTCTTCACGTTCACCTCTCTCGCTCTCGCACTTGCATTATCAACCATTCATACTTGTGTCGTTCTTTCCGCTTGCATTCCATTCCACTCTTCACTCTTCTCACCTTCCTCTCGCTTTCTCGCTCAGGCATTTCTTCCTGCTTCTCTGAACTCCCTTACGACCTCTTCGATCTCTCCATCTCTCCAACCTTCTGGACCTCTTCGCCCGCTCCATTCAGCCTTCTACTTCAAACAGTCGCTCCCCAACGTTTCTTTCTTTGTCTAGTGTCTCACAATTCGATACCCCGGTTCTTGAGCCTCGGCCAACGTCACAAAACTATTCCGTCCACATTGAAAAACCCAGACGTCACCAAAACCACCAAACTACTATTCGTCATCTTCACCATGCGTTCCGCCATTTTTACCAAGGCCGTCCTCCTATTCGGCATCGCCGCCGCTCAGATCGAACTGCCCGACAGCATCGACATTCCCGATAACGTCGAGATCCCCGATTCCCTGCCCACCGAGGTTCCCGATTGGGCCCAGGGCATCGTCTCGGACATCGCCTCCGGTGTCGCCCCGCAAGCCACCCCCACCGATTCCGCCTCCAACAGTCAGTCCACCTCCGGCTCCGGCACCGATTCGGACACCCTCCCCGGTCTCGTCGACCAGCTCCCACGCTGCGCCGTCAGCTGCCTCGTCAGCGCCGCCGACGACATTGGCTGCAGCTCCACCGACTTTGCGTGTCTATGCCGCTCCGGCACCGATCTCGCGACCAGTATCGGCCCCTGCGTTCTCCTGTCTTCGGGGTGCGGAGCCAGTGATGCTCGACGTACGTTGCACCCCCCTCTCCGTGAAAGAATATGTGGGTGAATCAGAGACTAAAACGTCATACAGGTGCCGCCGAGGTTGCGCCCCAGATTTGTAACAGAATCAACAATGACCCTCCTGCAGGCGAGGTTGCCTCTGCGTCCGCCATCGTTGCGGGTGCTGCGGCGACAGCTGATGGTGCCTCGCCCTCTGCGACCGATGCCAATGACAGCGCTGCTGGGCGGGGTGCTGTCAGTTTGACCATACTCGGAAGTATTGCCTTGTTTGCTCTTGTCGTTTAGGGAGGATATCATGGTTGCATTTGGGACTAGACGGCGTTTGGGTTTCATTTTGGGTATAGAGCAATCAATAAGGTCGGACCTGCAGGGATTCTGCACTTCAAAAACACACTGCTGAGCACCGACCACAGTATCATGTTTCTGCCATGGAAGAACGTATCGACTCAATGCTCATATGTCATCGTCGTTGAGTACATCACAATGCACTGAATCAAGCCGACAGCCAATAACACCGCCGGTCTATCAAATGATTTTCAGAAGACGGTCAACTACACCATCAAGTGCTGAACTGCGTCGCAGCATCGTTCACTGTACCTTAGGACACATATGTTGACATGGAGTCATACAAGGCCTTGAAAATGTAGCAGTGGTGTCACAGGCTGTCTTTAGTGTGGGAAACATTCTGACCAATTTCTTCACGAATACAAATGGTTGTTGCGAACAAATTGAACGTGAATATCAATCTATGCTTCAGGTGATAGGATGGATGGCCTGTCTTCATGGTTTGGGTCATGTGAAATGTAACTACGACGCAAAAGTTCTGGACCAGTACGCACTAAGACTGGCTTCACTCTTCGATCTCGAGAGATTCAAGGTCGATTTCCTCCTTCCGTCTTCTGAACTGAATGCTGGTCTCCGGGTTATGCATTATCGTGGTGCCCAAGACGAGAGGGTCGTGCGAGACCCCAGGCGTGGACTTCCAATCGTACTTCAGGAGGAGGTGGCACAAGGCTAGTTTTAGTTCGTTGGCCACGAAGAATCGACCCGGACAGGCGAATTTGCCGTGGCCGAACGACAGATGGTTGAGGCTCGTCGACACAAGCTGTGCCATGTGCTCCTTGCCAGGCTCGTCCCGCATACGCTTGAAGCGGTAAATATCGAACCTTTCAGGGTCCTCGTATACTTCAGGACGGGAAAATCCCGTGTTGTTCACGGCAATATGTGCTCCTTTACGGATGAGAGTGCCGTCTGGGAGCGTCACGTCCTCGACCGCCATGCGGCGCATTTCAACTAGATCCAGTTAGAGAGCTTGCGAGGCCCGGAATCAAATGGGTTTCAAATCTTACGAAGATTGATCGGCTTCAACCTTTGTGCCTCTTTGACCGCGCTGTCGAGCAGTTTCATCTTGAAAAGTGCGTTCTTCGTCCAACCATCGACCTGCAAGATCTCAACCATCTCTCTGCGAAGTGGCTCGATATTTTCCGGCTCGTGTGCCAACCGAAGAATGACCTGGGTCAAAAGGTCAGTCGTGGTGCGTATCGCAGCAAAGCTTAAGGTTAGTTGGAACACGGCGGGATCGCAGGGATAGCCTTCGGCCTCTGACTCTGCCCACTCGATCGCGTCGTTGAATCTAGGCACAGGCGAGCCGGTGGCCTGCGCTTCCGCTCGGAGCTTCTGACGTCTTTCGACGAGTGAACCAATGATGCGGCGAGACTCAGCGATGGTACCGCGGATTACTTTGACGTCCGGGTGGAACCAGTTGACCAGAGGTCGGACGATTCGAGGGTAAGTCCTCAGTATGGCGGCTGCCTTGAAAGATGCGACGGTGTATGACTGCGTGATCTCCAGCCACTTCTCATGCCGGCAGAGTTCTTCACCGAGAAACACACGCGAAGATATGCGGGCGACGAGTTCCGAGACAGAACTCTCGATTTTAATCTGCCGCCAGTCTCAGGGCTCTGTTAGTACATCAAACATCATCAAAGACGGCCCGCATTATTCTCACCAGGTGAGCTTCCAAAGATATGGTGGACAGCAAACACAGCTTCTGATGATAAAGGCTGGACAACCGTGTCTATCTCTCGTTAGCACGTTTAACCACAGCATCGCGTATGGTTCGTCAAGCCTACGCACTTAGCCGCTGCGTTAATTGCTTGCGCACTACTTTTTGCAGCACTTGAGATGGATTGTCGAGCATTGCAAAAGGCTCGAAGCCAGGGAGACCACCATGGAACTCCTAATACCTGTCAGCACGACTCCCACTGGCTCAAGGCGCGGCCTTTGAATACGTCAGACACAGACTTGCTAAAGCGAAGCGATGTCATGTTGCGAATAACGTCGGCGATTGCAGCGGGGAAAACGGTTCTCATGCCGCGGTCGGTGAGTATGGTGAAAGGGTCGTCGCTATGCAATTCTTTGCTGTCTTCTAGATACTTGCTCCCCTTTGTCAAAAAGTCTTTCTGCTTTTGGGCCTTGAGCTGGGGCCACATAGGAGAAACGGCTTGCCCTTCTTTGAAATAAAGGCTCACTGCAGCAGCAGGAATAAGAAGGGCTAGAACGAGCGTGAAGAAAGGTCGATAGAACTGTATCTCGAAGCTGTCTGCGAGGTGGCTCAGCCACCAACCGCCCTGGAGGGGCTCATGTTGGTTCATGTCGAATTTATTTGCACTAATGAGCTTCTAAGAGTAAACTGATAGGACGAAAGGTTTTGGCATCATGTGTAGATTGTGAGGAGCCAGGTATTATATCTAGGTAGGACTGAGGAGTATCACCATGTCAACTCAACCCCCGACACAAACTGAACTCCGACGGCATTGTGCAATTTGAAATCCGGCGGCAACATACAGACAGCGATACAGGTAAATCAGACTAAGTTACATCGAGTGGTTGGAGATCTTTGGGCGGTCTTGATTGCCTTTTCTTTGCTCGGCTCCTATTAGCTGTGGCACGACGCCAGGTCTCGGGCTGTGTAGATCTGTCTGCACATAAAATAATTCAGTACCAATCAGGCCTGATGGAATGAATCGGGTCACGTACAGTGGATATGTGATTTGCGGCCCAGCCCGCTTCGGTTGTCACTCTCTTGCATTCTCGGACACACAATGTAATCAGGCCCGAAGACTAAGTCTACTTCTGTACCCATTGGCAGCGACTTTGTCAGATTCACTTAGTGGCTGTGTGCAGTTTTTGTGAGAAGGGCACATCTTTTTGAAAAGCCATCCAGCGCAATACATCGGATCCTTTACATGGCAATGGGATATCTCAGGTAGTTGCTAGGGATTAATCGTTTAGTACCGCCTCAACGAGGCCTTGATGATATAATTACTAAGATAAGTCAATTAAAAAAGAAAGAGATCGAGCCAGAGTGTCTACCATGTACATGTACATGGCCCCGCTTGGACAAATAAAGTTCCTGCGCATTTATTTCATGTTGGCCTAGCAGCATGGGCGTAGCTGTCTTGCGCACATCGGTAAGCCAGCCTGCTGTTCTATACAGAACCAACCAGTCACCGTAGGCAAGGAGACTGAACGCACTCTAAAGGTTCAAAGGTAAGCTCAAGCAGCTATACACGTCCAGACATGAAGAACCTTTCTGAAATCGTATCTTAGTAGTGATGCACCGTCTGACGGCAATGACCACCATCATTCAACATTTGTTTTCCATCAGCCCTGACAGGTTGGAATCAAGTCAAGCAGAGTATCGGAGCTGGTCAGGGTGTTCGCCTGGAAACAGACAACAAGCAAAGGCGGAGTTTGCCTACAAGCCAGATATAAGACACTGGTATTAGAAAGACTCCACAATCGGATCTATGCCGCCATCATATACTCCGAACTCCGTAGGGAGTCGGAAGCCGACGTCACTCGTCGACCTACGCCGACAAAAAAAGTCTTACTTGCTCCCGTGATATTGGTAGGAGCAATACGACCTCGGACATCGGACACTATGCCTCTCCCCGTTCCCGCCCCCTTGCACGATAAGTCGCAAGTGCCAGCAATCCTGTAGCAAAGACGCAAGTGCCACAGCCCCTAGGCAGTGCGAACTCAAATCGTGTGTGCTGTGCCAGTGATACAAGCATGTCAAATACAATCATGGCAGGCCCTTGCACAGCCCGCTGATCGCGTCGCACGTCGCCGCCTCTGCATGCTACGCCACACTGGTCAATTCGTGATGTGACTTAACCAGCATTTCACAATTGCATCAGTTCTGCCACATTCCTCCAAACCTGGGATGGTAAGGACAGAACCCTATGCTATTACTATTTGTTCATTAATAAAAGCTGATCCCGGCCCAAATTGGTGGGAATGCCATTAAAGGACCTCAAATCGTACAAAGCGACCTTGTTGAAGAGCCGGCAAACCTTCCACATGCTTCAGCAGCCCTCCGCTCAGATTACTGAGCAAGATGTATCATGATTCTCGACACAACGGCAAGACCCTGGCCTCGTCCAAGAACTTCGATTCCAACCTGTTAGAGATGTATGGGTGATTTTTTGAAATGACAGGAAAGCTTTTCATTGATCCGCGGCTTTCGGCCAAGTGGCCAAGTGGCAGCCCCGTGTCCGCAACCCTCGCGATGTATCATGCTCAAGCTTAAAAGCCTCTCCTTGTAAACGCAAACGTCTGCCATGGGTTGCCACAGATCCGCCTTACTATGTGTATCCTATATTGAAAATGAAAAGCCTAATAGTCGCTGCTAGAGACGATCACTTCAGGCTTGAAGCAAACCCCATCCTCACCGGCTGATGATCTCAACCTGGTGGATAAAGGTGAAATCACCTAGCAATCCCAGGTTTCTGTCAATGATTGCTGCTCTCATCCTTTTCTCACGCAGCTGCCTTCTCGTGGTTTTATTTCAGCTACGAGGGAATCTTTCCGATTCAGTTTCTTTTTCCTTTTTTCTTCAGTGTTAAATAAAGAGAACAGCATGAACATGACAGTCCGCCGTCCAACGCAGCTTAGTTATCTGGAGAGCGAAGCCCCAGTCTCACGACGACAATCTATTTGCTGCAGTGCATTCTGTCTGACGTTCTTGGGACGATCAAGGTGCTCGGGGGCGCCGACATACACATGCTCACAAGCGGAGTGTAGTTCCACCGGGTACCCAGGCTATGATCACTTGCCTGCGGATGTTGACAGGGCTGTTACACCCGACCTAAAAAAAAATGGCATCTCATCGCAACGGGGTTCAGTGCTATCACTCGTGGCCAGGTCAATGACAAAAAGGTTATAAGAACACAATCGGGACGAACTGGCCTTCTCAAATGGGAGCGGCTGAACTACGCAGCAACGGAGCTAACGAGCATGGGCAAAGTAAAGGTACAACAAAAGGGGCAGAGAATCATATATAAATACGTCATTCTCATGGACATGTTCTCTAGAATTTTGGAATGTTGCATGGCTTTGCATGCTCGAACCCGGACATTCGGAAGAGGCCTGAGAAGGTCCTGCCCGATCGTTCGGAATCCGCGAGATCACACAGTTGCTTTACACTACCTTGCCGCCAGAAACTAGTGACGAAACCTGTAGAACGACAAACACTTGTGAGAGGCGCAATGGTTAATCAGCTCCGTGGCTGAGGACCAAGTTGTTTCCGACAATCAACTTCAAGACGTAGTGGCCGATGAACTCCTCGACGGCTTTGAACGTCCACAATAGCGCAGCTCGTCTGATCTACGACAACCACGTGAAAGACTGTGCAGGCCAGAGGCACAACCTCATCAGCAGAAGGCAGACCGTAGTCCACTAATAAGAGCCTTGTAGCGTTGTTCAACGACCTATACCTGTATCATGGATCAAGTCCCATGAGTTGGCTTCGCGGGACTATTCTCCAAGGCAAGGAACCATGGCAAAACCTCGGACGCAATTATAACAATGCTGGTTCAAAATCTTCAATGTTGGGAATCTGGAGGTCGGATTTTGAGTGTTTGTGACAGAGCGAAACAGGTGATCCTCATATCAATTGAGGCCTATGCGCATCAGCGCATCACTCTAGGTTAACATGGTTGGGGAATCCCACTCCCGAAATTGCATCAGATTCAGTCACGCGAACCAGAAAGCAATGGGCGCTGAACGACAGCAACGATGTTTGCAGACACGCATCTGCGCCGCTTAGAGCACCTCGCCTCTAAGCAGCATATGTCATCAGCAAAGCCTCCATCCGCCATGGAAACACCGGTGTTGAGGAAGCGGAACTTCACCGCGGGCCCAGCCCGGTCCCATGTGACACACCAGCCGGGGACAACCACGACGCCAGCTCGCAGGCTACGGCCTACGTCCCGGCGAGTGCGGGGGGGAGATATTATCTACACTCCCTCAGCCCGACGGTGTAACGACAGAAACACGCAGCCCTGCCGTCGTGACACAATCACAGCAGCACGGTGGAGGAGCGGGAAACCCAACCTCTGCCGGCATTGGTAAGCGGCAGTGGCGATCCCTTTGGTCCGGGACGAGGGATCGGCGCGTCAGCTTCAGGATGTGCCTGAGGAAGGCCCGAGAACCATGTGTTTTGGAGACGAAAGGCGCTGATCGAAGAGCAATCGTCAATCACGGATGCCCCCAACTTCGAGCCTCTTGACCAGCTGCAGAATCCTCTCAGGTCTTGGTCGAAAAGCCGCGCCCTGCAGACCGGATTCCGCCACACCCCCATTCTCCGCCATCAAAAGTTCTCACACACCCTGTTCTCGAGATAGGTTGCGCGCGGCTTGAGCCGGAGCTCATCCGTGGCACGAGGAAGTAGACGCCAGCGGCCCGGACGAAAAACAGAGTCGGCTCTCCCATGGTTCGCAACCACTTGTTGATGACCGACATTGCATATTGGGTGGCAGACGAAAGACTTCGGTTATTGGGCAAGGCATGGCCTCACAACCAGGATAAGCATGTTTTTTCCCCAGACATGATGGGAGCGCTAGCACCGCACACGTGTGTGCCTGCGTCGAGGGAACCACTCCTCTTTCAACTGAGATGGACATTGCCCCCGCCCTCTTCCTTCTCCTTCCCTCTTGAATCCTGGACTAGTCACGTTAAGTGAGGATGTATGGAGTTGGGATCATGATATCGAGCGGTGAAGGACGAACGAACCCTTGTCGTCCGGCCGGTTGAAAAGCACGACGCTAACCGCATCGAAGGCTAAATCGTCGGACAAAGACCCGGCGCAGCGGAGTCGAGACTGTCAATGAGGTGCCAGCCATCCCACACACTGCGATACACATATGCGCCATCCGAGAAAGTGCAAGGACATGGGGACGGTAGAGGGGAGGGGGGCAGGGGCGAATTGGCAGCTCATCGAAGGTCGAGTAGACTGGCACTTGCAATGGTGTGGGGTGATGGTGATGCGAGAGGGTAGCTGACAGAGGGTTGAGCTTACAGGGGAGGCGTGGGCCTAAAAGTAGCCGAGGGCGCCGCAGCGTTACATAGCATTTCGATCGGTGAACTGGCTGGGATTGGGACCTTTCCTCTTCAAGTGCGGCGACGTTGTGGAAGCGGAAGTGTATTGGCCTGTTCGGGTGATCAGGTTGTTGAGGCACGCTCGAAAGGAGC